CGGGGGGGGGGGGGGGGGTGGGTGTGCCCAGTGGTGAGGGGGGATAGGGGCATCTAGGCTGGTACCTGGGGGTCTCCAAAGACAAGGATCTCTGGGCAGGATCTGTGGGCAGCGCTGGACGAAGTGCACATGCAGCTCCTTTAAAAAAAATCCAGCGGCTCCGGATCCTGTGCTTCTATCTTAAAACACTCTCCCCCTACCTTCTTGGAACATGGGGAAGGAGGGGAAGACAAGAAAGCATGCACACTGTTGTGGACAGGGGAGGAGCGTGCACTTTCTTCTCTTCCCTTCCTTCTCAGTGCTGCCTACCTGCCTTACCCCCCACCCTATGCTGCAGGAAGGAAGTCCTGGGGGCCAGATCTGGCACAGAGCCACGGTACTCCCTCTGCCCCCATGCCGCAGGAAGCTGGAGCTAGCTCCAGTTTGGGGGGGAGGCAGGAGGTTGTAGCGCCAGCATGAGCTCCTTGTTGGGGGTAGGGTGTGCAAGGAGGGGCTGGGAACACTACCTTGTGATTGACTGACTGACTGCCCCCACAATCAACCAGTCAATCTTGATTTGCTGGTTGATGTTCATGGGTCTAGAACCTCAGCAAAATTTTCACCTTTTAGCACAGATGATTTTGAAAGTAAAAAGTCCTTTGTTTCTGAAATGGGAAACCCCCTCAGAAAGATCTTCTGACAACGAAAGAGAATGCTAAGTATAATACCTTGTCTCATGCTTTCTTTTTTTAAATATCTTAACTCCAATACCTCTGATCCCTAGAATATCAGAAAATTGAAGAGGATGGAGCAAAAATGTTTGATATATCTATAGCCAGTAAGTCCAATTAGGGGCTAATCTGGAGCTTTCATCCTTTTCTTCACTAATTCTGCCTCTTCTTTTTCTGAAAATGATAGCATGGTACATCTGGACCTAAAATCCTTGCAACTACCTGTTCGGATTTTGAAATATTAACAGGGCAGAATCATTAGCGTGTTTTGGAGGTGCAGCTGCTACTGGTGCAGATTTGTAAGCGCTCTACTAGACAAACATGTGCTGCAAATTGTAAGAGATTTCCTTTTTGAGCAGCCCAAAACCAGATTAACCCAACATCTGTTACTATTGTGGTGATATTGGATTATCTTTTGACACAAAATCAATTATCAGGCTGAGCTCCATTTATTTGACTACTATTTCACTTTATCAAGCTTCTCTACAAAGATCCAGTGGTGATTTTGTGTCTAGTCCAATTTTTTATGTAAGATCATTTACATACTTCCAGGTTACTGGATTATGTTGGAAGTCTATGACTTTGAAAATGACCTGGCAATCATTATTCATAACTAGTGGAACAAGAGTTGTTATGGCAAAGCTGGTGGGGAGGTGGAAGTTTGGATGTCTTCTTGAGAAGTCATGGCTTAGGTCCACAACAAATTATTGGGTACAGTACAGGTATTATTATGATTAGAGTCATGCAGGAGATCAGACTATCTGATCATAAAGGCCTCTTCTGGTTTTAAAATCTATGGATCTTCTCTGTCTCTTCATAAACCAACTTCCTCCCAAGACTACATTAATTACTGGGAAAATCATTGCTATATAGTTTTGATATAAATAGAGCATTTAGCTACTGCCTTTAGTGGAAATAAATCCATCAGGTAGTTCTACAGATTCTTTATTGTTTAAAATTATATATTTATGTATGTATATATGTAGAGAATATGTATACAGGCAAAGTGTTATGATCTAGTGAGGGTTATGATTCCCAAAAATCTACAAATAAAGCAATGGAATATACTTTAAATCTCTAGTTTTCTGTAAAAAATCCCCATACTTGATATCTGTAGAGCTGTAACTTGGGTCCTCTGTTCGTACATGTACATGTTATTCTAGATTTATCTTGACATTTGACACTCAACTTAGTAGAATGTTTGTTTAGTTTAGATCCTCCTACCACCTTTTCAAGAATCATTGCTAATCAGATTCAGCAAATAGCTCTCTCAAGAAAATATTTGCAACGAGCAATAGCTATTCATTTATAGCTGAATAACATGGAGGTGCTAGCTTGTATAAGTTAGTTGACATTAGTTCTTCCTTCCTTTCCAACTATTTGTGAGCCTTCCTAGTCGACTTGGAAATAGTGAGGGGCAGTCCAGATCTTTGCTTCCTTTATATATACACCCTTTGGGTCTCAACATTTGATACCACATTGTCTATAGAACAAGATTTTCTAGATGTTTCCAGCAAGAATGTGACATTGCGAGGTGCATCCCAATAGTATGAATTAGTTCCTCCAGTAATCTTGAACTCCAATAACTCGAAAGCAAACTGTTTATCAGTGTCACCAAGGGATTAAGTTGATCTTCTGAGACTGACCATTTTGGAAGGGATTAACAAATAATGTTTCTTGGCAGCAATACAAAAATGTTCCCAGGTTACAAGTAGAAAAATTAATATCTAGGTGTGAAAAGGCTGCAACATGTAAGGGAAAAACAATATATTGGGATTTCAAACTACTATCTGAGCATTTCTGTTTTTCACATACCCCAGAGTTTGGACTACTTCAGACACTTGTGCCTTTAAACTCACATTTCAGGGTCATGGAGATACCAGTAGACTATCCCAGATCACCTTGGTGTTGAGTAAGGATGTTAAAATGTGATTATCTGGCTGATAGTTTAGTCGATACAATTTGAATCAATTGCATGATTGATTGATAAGTGCCGCTCTGCAGAGTGACAGTGGGGGATAGCTCCAGGAGCTGACTCAAGCTGGGACTGAGCAATTCTGGATCCTGCTGGCTCCACAGCCATGTGCTCTGCAGCTCTGCATTTTAAATGTAGTAAGAGCCGCTGGGCTCTTAGTACATTTAAAATGTACAGGTGCAGTGATCGGTATGAGCTGGAACTGCTCAGTCCCGGCTCGCGCTGAGTCCAACAGCCCATGTTTACAGCAGCCTGGGCGTGGTGCCGGAGCAGCCTCTGTTGCTGGCAGCTCCGGCACCAGCCTCTGTTCACAGCAGCCAGGGCTGGCCATGAACAGGGGCTGGCCGACACGAACAAGGGTTGCTTGGCAACAAAGGCGGAGGGGCCCAACTCCCTGCTGGGACCCCTGTGGACAGGGGCTGCTTCGCAGCAGCATCCCCTATGCTCCCCTCCCCCTGCTGCCTCTGATAGAGGAAGCGGAGGGTGACAGGAGGTACCCCAGAGAGTGCTGGGGGGAACCGGCTTTTAAGCCAGCCCCCCCCCCCCCGCCCCCAGCACTGGTTCCTGTCCCCAACCCTTGCTCCCTATCATAGAGCCAGCAAGTGGGGGAGGGACGGTTCCAGAGAGCACAGCGCAAGTGGGGACTGCTTGAGTCCCTGCTTTCCCTGTGCTCCCTGAGGTACATCTGCTTTTGAAATGTACAAGAGCCCCCAGAGCTCTTGTACATTTCAAAAGCAGAAGCGCCTGCAGTGGGAAATGGCGTGAACAGGGACTGAAACAGTACTTGCTCGTGCCGTTTGCCTGCTATGCTTCTGCCTCCCCTGCTCCCTGCGGAGATGGTGCTGATAGGAACTGGCTTAAAGCCGGTTTCCCCCCAGCACTGGCTTCTACTCCCCCCCCACCCAC